TACCTTTTGCAGAATATCAGTCTGTTTCTGATGGTTTTCCTGGAGAGAAGTGGCTTCTTTGCTGCCCTTCTTGACACCATGTCATCCTCCAAAAGTCTTCACCTTACTGTGCACCTGCCTGCTGCCATTCCTGAGCAAGCTCTGCTCTTGTGGCGCACCGATTCTGCAGCTGAATCAACTTTAGGAGATGGTCCTGGTGCTTGCTGGACTTTCTTGGGTCCAGCCTTCTGAAGCCTTCTTCACAACAATTGAACCTCTCTCCTTTAAGTTCTTGATGATCCGATAAATGGCTGATTCAGGTGCAATCTTAGTAGTAGCAATATCCTTGCCTGTGAATCCCATTTTTGTGCAAAGCAATGATGAATGCACATGTTTCCTTGCAGATAACCATGGTTAACAGAGGAAGAACAATGATTTCAAGAACCACTCTCCTTTTTAAAGCTTTCGGTCTTTTATTCTAACTCAGTCAGCATAACAGAATGATTTCCAGCCTTGTCCTCATCAACACTAACAGCTGTGTTAACGAGAGAATCACTGATATGATGTCATCTGGTCCTTTTGTGGCAGGGCTGATATGCAGTTGAAATGGGTTTTTTGGGGAATAAGTCCATTTTCAATGCAAAGAGGGACTTTGCAATTAATTGCAATTCATCTGATCACTCTTCATAACATTTTGTAGTATATGCAAATTGCCATCATGAAAACTGAGGCAGCAATCTTTGTGAAAATAATATTTGTGTCATTCTCAAAACTTTTGGCCATGGCTGTACATTCCATTAGACTTGAATATAAATGTAAAACTCCTTGTAGCAAACAAAAGCCCATTGACATCCTGAAATCCTAAAGACTACACTTCCCATTCAACAGTTACAACGGTGTTGCAGTGGGAACTGGCTGCCTGAAGCTTAGCTTGTCTACATACTACTTCTTGCCTCATGACTCCTCTTGAGTCCAGTTGGCAAAACCAAACCTCCAGAAGTTATCACGCAATTTTTACACAATGAAATTGATATCTTTTTGCTGATGTTTCTGGAAAATAAACTAGAGAACCTTTGAGTTCACACCTGAGAGGCGAACCCCTACCTACTGATAACACAGAGAAGTCACACATTCCACCACACCTGCTTGAACTGTATGTCATGTCATGTTGTTGCTTAAACTCTCCACCCTTGCTGGTTGACCCAGTTTTCATCACACGTGTACCAGTAAAATATACAGTACAGATTTAAAACTTGTATAAAGAAATCTCAGAATCCTATATTGTCTGAGAGTAGAGATATCTTACATTCTGTTTCCCATAGTACTCTTTATAAATATAGTTTGAGGGCTTCATGCACATGGGTGGTTTGGCTCATCATCTTCAAATCCCAGCATTTGTAGGTGCATGGCAGGCACAGGTGGAGCGCCCAAACCCACTTCTTGCAGCCTGTCAAAACCTATAGAAATCTGCATTTGGGGCAACAATAAATTTTCAACACTCCCAGAAGTGTAATTTTCCCTGTTAACTTCGCAGAAGTTTCATAAGAACAGCATGGCCTTTGCCAACACCGCGGCAAGCATTTACTATTTTTTTTTCACATGTATGCCTTGCTTCAGTTATTACATTTAGCATTCCTGTAAGCAGGTACCAACCAGCTCTTCTGCCTTCCCTTTATAGTAGGTTCTCCCTGAAATGGGCTGCTCCCTTATCCCTGCACCAGGTCTACCCCAAAGGGGCATATCTCAGAGATGGTCTGTAATCTTACATGGTAGCTCACAGCAGGGTATTGCTTCCCATCAACCTTCTGACCTCCGTCATCTTGACCCAACCTTCATAACAGAAAGAGATGGCCCAACCTATAGTACATACTCAGGGGGTGGGTTTCCCCATAAAGGGGTACTAACCCCCCGCTTACATACCTCCCTACTTTTGGAAATGATAAAGAGAGGCATCTTTTAGCACACTAGTTTGGAAGCCAGACTTTCTCAACCCTTTCAACAAAGAGGAACCCTTGAAATATCTTTCCAGTCTCAGGGAACCCCCTCTAAAAATTACTATGTCTACAACTCATGATACATTAGTGTGATGGTCAGTGGGAAGAATGCTCTGTACACTTGTGGTCATTGGGAAGAATTACTCCCTCTCAGATAGCTAAAATAAAACAACAGTGTCAGTAGGAATGTGGCAGCACCAAAATATTACAGAGTTCCCATTTAAGTTTTACTGTTTCTAAAAGCATCTGTTTGCAGAACCAGGTCATCAGCTCAGTTCCTCCCCCTTATTTCCTGTGGAACAATGTGTTCCAGTCTAGCAGCTGACACCCTAACTTTCAGTCGGTGATATTTTATCTAAATGTGAAATTGCAGAGGCTATATCCTGAACTGCTCAGAATGTATTTTAAAGGTACAAAAAGTAAAGAGAAAATATATGCATTGTGACATAATTGTTGATATATACACCATGTAAGATCCTTTTCAAGACACTTAGCTTGCAGACACAAGTCTGGCTAGGTCAACCAGCTGGTAAATAAAAAGCTTGTTTTCCTCAAGTTCGTGTCCGGAGTTTTCCTGGAATTCCCAAAGTTGCCATTACAGGAACTTAACTGAGAGGCAGACATTGCCCATTGCTCAAGTTGCCCCTAGCAAACTCTGGAAGAACCCTAATTGAGACTGCATGATGTACGCAAAGGACACATCCCTTTACAAGGACCACTGAGATCTAATTTGCAGAAAATTATTGACTAAACCATGCAAGTGCTTTTTGACCTCTATTCCTTTATATTGGCTTTTAAAAATAACAAATATAGTAATAAGTAGGTTGGAATAACGGTTTAGTGCAGCATAGCACTTTTGATAGGAAATTGTACATTATGTATAAAGACATACACGTCAGACCAAAAAGAGAGGCAACAAGGGCAGATGGATCTGGTCTCAAAAGAGGGACAGTCCCTCAAAATGAGGGACATTTGGGAGCCCTGCTTATAGCAACAGGGTCACCTTGAGCTAACCTTGTTTGTAGTTTGCTATAGTGCCAGCACTGTAGCAGGTGTGCTAAAAGTGACAATATTCTGCTGTCATATCAAAGGAATCCCACATTGAGGAAATATGGTAGACTGTTATGGAAAATGAAGAGATTTGCCTTTATCTTCAACTGTGCTTTATTTCTGTATTTATTGATCATTTTGACATGTGTTTTTCACTCTAGGTAATCTCTGATTATGTATTTTTCATCATATGTTATTTATGACAGGTTTACTTCCAGCCATGATATGCAGTTAAGCAATGTGTTTCGGGGTATATGGAGAATTACACAACAGTAGTCTTCAATACATCATTTGTGATCCATTGACATGAGCTTTTCTAGAGCTTTAGATTGTTTATTGCTGTGCTGGTTGGCGGTATTTTAATGATGGTGGGGATTTTCTCCTGCTCTACCCCTAGGATACAGGCAAACAGACTTCTATGCTTGAGCTGCCCACCTACTCACATGCATCTGTATTATTGTGCTGAGGATGTCAGATTATGAGCTCCACTGGGGCAAAACTAATACGAAGAACGTAAATACTCTCGGAAAGATACTGTAATGGCTCTGTATAACACTGGAAACAAATAAAATAAAATATGTGTGAGCCCTTAGTCAAAGTTTTAAGCACCATCTATTGGTTGTGGCTGGAACGCCATCGAAAAACTGTATTTAAAGTGGTATTAACCACTTCAATACTGGGCACTTTTACCTTCTTCCTGCCCAGGCCAATTTTCAGCACTCTCGCACTTTGAATGAAAATTGCACGGTCGTGCATGCTGTACCCTAACTACATTTTTATCATTTTGTTCACACAATTAAAGCTTTTGGTGGTAATAACCACTGTTTTTAAAATTTTTTGCTAAACTAACGAAAAAAGACAGAAAATAAAAAAACAAACAAACACTTTTTCTTAGTTTCTGTTATAACATTTTGCAAATAAATAATTGTTATTCATAAATTTAGGCCAATGTGTATTCTGCTACATTTCTTTGGTGAAAATAACCCAAATTAGTATTTATTATTTAGCCTGTAGGAGAGTTATACAGTGCTCAGCATAAATGAGTACAACCCTTTAAAAAAGTAAGATTTTAATCAGTATCTCTTAATGAACACAAAAACAATTTCCAAAAATTCTTGAGGCCCAAAAATGTCAGGACAGTACAGATATCCCCCAAATGACCTCTTTTTGCAAAATAAACAGTCCGAGGTATTTAGTAAGAGGCATGGCGAGTTTTTTGAAGTGTTCATTATTTTGGCATAATTTTTTGGAAAATGAAGAAATAAAAAAAAAAAAAAATAATCACAATGTTTTTTTTTTACATACGGTCACCAGTGCAGTACAGCATCATCATGTACCTGGTGTGGCAGTGATCAGGGACACTCACTGGTAACAGTACGTGAAAAAAAAAAAGTAATGAAAAATGTAAATAAAAAAAAAAAAAAATTATATATCTATATTTTTTTTTCATAATACACTGTGACCAGAGTAGTATAATGTTACCACAGTACTACACTGGGGAAGTGATCAGTATTTTTGGTTTACACATTATGATTGCTTATAGCAAAGAATTTCATTGCTATAAGCAAGCATTTAACTGAATGAAATTGATTCATTCAGGAATTTTTGTGATTAGCTGTGACTGGTCACAGCTAATCCCATGACACAGATTGGCTGTGATTGGCATATATATATATACGTGATTTTGCATTTCTGGGTAGGGGGGCATGCACGTGCCCTACCTGCACCACTTTTCGCAGCCTCGGCTGTCAATCACCAGGTCCCGGCCGGTGATTACTCGTCGGCACCCGGTGATCGCTGAGCATTACTGATGGGGGGAGAGAACTGTATGGAAACAATATAGTTATTTCCCCTGTCAGCTCCTCAGCTCCTGCACAGTGCTTTGTATGGCTGTACATAGCACAGCCATACAAAGCAGTGTTCTTACAGTGGAAAGCACAGACACAGCAAAACAGCACACAGTTAACCCTTTGATCACCCCACATGTTAACCCCTTCCTTCCCAGTGCCATTAGTACAGTGTCAGTGCTTTTTATTTGCACGGATTATTGTATTGGTGTGACTGTGGATGTCAGTGACACCAAGTCAGTCCCCCCCAGTGTCTGAATGCCCACCGCAGTCCTGCGATAAATCGTTGATCACTGCCATTACTAGTAAAAAAAAAAAATCCCAGTATCTATACTGCCATTTGTATAACTTTCATGTGAACCAATTACCGTATTTTTCGCTCCATAAGACGCACTTTTTTCCCCCAAAAAAAGGGGGGAAAATGTCAGTGCGTCTTATGGAGCGAATATGGAGCGGCCGGTCCGGTATTTCCACCGCTGCCGTGTCAGAATACCGGGCCGGCCGCTCAGCTCTGCAGTGGGACCTTACCTGTTCCTCTATCCAGCGGCGCGCTGTCTTCCCGGCTTCTGTAGTGTGCGTGACAGCCGGGTGCGAAGTGCGCATGCGCACGAAGCGGTGCTCTTTGTGAATGGTAAGGCGGTACCTGGGACACATGACAGATCCCAGAAGCCGCCGGACCAATCACAAAGCGCAGCGCTTCTCGCTCATGCGCACTGGGCATCCGGCTGTCTGCCGAGAGCCCACACTACAGAAGCCGGAAAGACAGCGCGCGGCTGGATAGAGGAACAGGTAAGATCAAAGAACAACTCCGCGGAAGTAGGAGCGCGTACCTGTCAAATTCAGGTACCCGCTCCCCACCTCCCCAAAGGTCAGCAGTCATCTCCTGTACTGTCTGCAGTCTCTGGTCATCTCCTGTACTGTCCACAGTCTCTGGTCATCTCCTGTACTGTCCGCAGTCTCTGGTCATCTCTTGTACTGTGTCCGCAGTCTCTGGTCATCTCCTGTATTGTGTCCGCAGTCTCTGGCCATCTCCTGTACTATGTCCGCAGTCTCCTGTCATCTCCTGTACTGTGTCCGCAGTCTCTGGTCATCTCCTGTACAGTGTCCGCAGTCTCTGGTCATCTCCTGTACTGTGTCCGCAGTCTCTGGTCATCTCCTGTACTGTGTCCGCAGTCTCTGGTCATCTCCTGTACTGTGTCCGCAGTCTCTGGTCATCTCCTGTACTGTGTCCGCAGTTTCTGGTCATCTCCTGTACTATGTCCGCAGTCTCTGGTCATCTCCTGTACTATGTCTGCAGTCTCTGGTCATCTCCTGTACTATGTCTGCAGTCCATTAGTTCAGAATTTTTTTTTCCTGTTTTCTGCCTCTAAAATCTAGGCGCGTCTTATGGTCAGGTGCGTCTTATGGAGCGAAAAATACGGTAATTTACACGTATTGGGATTTTTTTATCAAACACATGGAGCAGAATACATTTTGGCCTAAATTTATGACGAAACTAAATTAAAAAAAAAATGTTATTGGACATGTTTAATAGCAAAAAGTCAAAAATATGTTTTTTTCTCAGAATTGTCAGTCTTTTTTTGTTTATAGCACAAAAAATAAAAATGCACAGATGATCAATTACCACCAAAAGAAAGCTCTATTTGTGAGGAAAAAGGACAATGATTTAATTTGGGTGCGGCGTTGCATGACCCGCGCAATTGTCAGTTAAAATAATGCAGCGCCGTAACACAAAAAATGGCCTGGTCCGAAAGGGGGGTAAATCCTCTGGAGGGCAAGTGGTTAAATACCAGTCAGGTGCATCCCTGCGTCCTGGTGAAGTAAGAGAGAAGCTAGGATACCATCCGCTCGTATGAGTCCTATTACATGGTCATGAGGAATCTTGCTGGAGGACGCAGCCCCCAGCAGCTATCACATGTAAGGACTACATAACTGTGGTATTCTGTAATGCTGAAGGCATTATTGTGAGCCAATAACTGCCTTGCCTTTGAAAATCATTTGAATATTTATCAAAAGCAGCACTTTCCACTGTTTGGCAGAGGAAAACAGAAAATCTAAGAGAACTGTTGTCGTCTGATCCCTCTGCACCATAACCACACGCAAGCCCCGTACACATGCATGTGAAGGGGTGACAATGCAGCAGCACAACTGGGAGACAGTTGTCACCTCATAAAAGGAAGTGCCTGAACAAAGACATTTATATCAGGATCACCAGGGATTCTTTTAATGAAAGCAGCAGATTGAAAAGACTCAGAAGCTTTCTCTAACCATACTTGTGTTTTCTTGTCTGTTGAACCTCTTTGTTTCTTCCATGTTTTTACAATCTATGTGATCTTCTCTCCTTAGTATCTGCGGCATTCAGCACCTGGAAAGAGCAGGCAATAACCTCACCCTCTTCGATTCCTTATACTTCTGCATTGTCACTTTCTCCACCGTGGGCTTTGGTGACGTAACCCCAAAGATATGGCCTTCACAGCTTCTAGTGGTGATCATGATCTGCGTTGCCCTTATTGTGCTACCTATCCAGGTAAATTCGACTGCCCGGGCAAATTAAAAACATTTACTCATGTTTTATCCCTTTAAAAATGCCACAAATACAGTCCTGTTGATCCTGCCAGAAGTTCAGAGAGCACCAAACTTCCTAGTGACATTGGCACACCTCCAGAACTACAGCTCCAAAGAGCCTATTCCCTATGTACAGTGTATGGGCAGGCTTCCGGGAGTCAAGGTCATGGCATTATTTTCTGGAAAAGGTCATTAAATGTGTGTGTAGTGGAACAGAGAGGGGGGTAAGTTCTGTAGTTCAGCAAAGGAGGAACTAATGTGACTAAGCTAAGATTTTAGATGGGACTCTTGGAATAATTTATGTGTGTTTGTGAATACCAGAAACTCCAGAAACCAGAAAAGTCCCATCTTTTGTAGTTGGTGTTTTATCGTTATCACTGATCACTTTTGTATCTAGAATGCTGTGATTTGGTTCATATGCTTTTAATATTACTTCCATATTCATTAAATCTTTCCACAATTGCCCCATCTATATGTGTTGCTATCTTTGTTGAAGTACTTGGAGATAAAAACAGTAACTTTTGCAGTACACACAGTTCTATTATTCCTCCTTGTTCTCTGTCTGGAAGAGGGCTAGTACAGCTATAGAATGCTCTGTGCAAATGCATCTAGCTGCAGCAAGACTGAACCATGTGCTTCTTCTAGAGCAGTGGTCTCCAAACTGCGTCCCTTTGCTTGCTTTTATCCAGCCCCTGGGGCAGTATTTCATCCACTGATACCAACAATGGGGCAAACTTCCCCCCGCTGACACCAATGAAGGGGCACAATTTCTCCCAATGACATCAACTGTGACACCAATAATGGGGCACAATTTCTCCCAATGACACAGACAATGGGGTACTCTTAGTTCCACTGACTTCAAAGATGGGGTATTATTTTCTCAATGGCTTTGGGACCTTTTCTACTCCCAATGACCCCAGTCTGGCCCCCCTAAAAACTGAAGGACAGTAAACTGGACCTTTGTTTAGAAAGTTTGGAGACCCCTGTTCTAGAGTATTGAACTACTCTGAATGTCGCATACCTTGTTGGAGATGATGAGGGTGGCCTCTTTTACTGCTCCAGTCCAAGTAATCCTGGGTAGCAGTTCAGGGAAGAAGGCATAAGTGGATGACATGGATTTCACTGGGCCAACAGTAAAATCAGTCTGTATATGCAGTAAAGCATGCTTGTTATACTAACTGTGGAACCTAAGGGGTTAATCCTCTGCATTGTGTAAAAAAACGCTGTTTGATCCTGTTTTCTCTGATTCTTCCCTTCTGCTGTCCCTAACCAATCTGCTGATGGAACAGAGCCTTGGGGGCAAGCTGCACATGCTCAGTTTAGAGTGTATTGCTAGAGAGTTTTTTTTTCTTGGGAGGGTGCATGTGACCAGCACAGGGCCAATCAGCACTGTCCAGACAGAGGGTCAGGGGTCTTGCAGCCTCATAAAACAATCAGGGGGGAATGAAACCTCCTCCTACAAGCTTTAACCAGTGCTCTGCTGGATACTGGTAGAAGTCACAAGACTGATCTAACTGCTGATAAGAAAAGGTATTTAGCAGTTTATATTTACTAAAATAATTACATTTCCATGTTGTGTGTACTGTGGGAGACCAGATATAGTGAACACAGGGTCCTGGGTCTAGTAACACTTTAAATACCTCTTTGGCACCTTTATTCATAGTGAGCAAGTATGCATGCAGCGCACAATTCTGTGACCAGAACTATGTACACACACATGCACAGGTGCAATGAAACCTTATGAGCTTCTTTGGTTGCACGTTTTTGGCCCCTATAGACTTGAGTGCCTGAAAAACACCAGAAAACATGTATAACGTGATTTTCACACAATTTCATGCCTCTCCTTCTCCTAGTAACTAGCTTGGCTCGTTACTTAACTAAACCAGAACTCTCAAGCCCACAAGCGCTTGAAAACTAATATACAAATGCATATTAAAAAATGCTCCAAAAACACTTAAAGAAGCTCTAGAGTTTTTCAACTAAATTTCTGAGGCACCCTGGGGTGCCATGTGGGTTCTTCAGGGTCGCCATAGCAAAATGCCTAAAATTGCCCAAACTGGCTAAAAAATGTCAACAAACCAGTGGGTGGATCAAGCCGGCTTTTTTGTTACACAAAGCCACAGGTTTTTATTGTGCAGCAATGTTGGCCACTCTGTTGACCAAGCGCAGGTCTAGCAACTGATGGCATCATTGGCTGATAAGGAGCATGTTGGGCATCTGCACAGCATCCTTATTTGTCCTTCCCCTGCCCTTCTCTGTCAACTCTAGGGTCATTTTAGTTACATGATGTAGAGAAACATTATGTTGCTGCATTCTGTAAAACTGCTAGTCTAGTTGTTCACATTTTAGAATGGAGCGCCTCAAGATTTTGAATGACTTTAAAGGGGGCTGTGACTGAAAAAAAGATGGAGAAACACCAACCTAGACTCAGGAAATACCACAAAGAGATCTTGTCCTTTGGAGCTGTCAAGATGAATAAGAATCCAAGGCTTTCTGACACTCACATATACATCTGCAAAAAGGAAGACAATAGGGCCTTTGTAAAAAGATTGTAAAAATTCTGAAAACCACGTCTCTTAGAAGAGACAAATCAAATAGCATAGTGTAAAGGTGCTTTTGCAATTAATGAATCCTAAAATGTTTCCATGTCCTCTTAAGGAACTAGTGCAGCATCCACATAAAGCCAACTGGTTAAATATTAGGTCCGTCTATAAAGACTGGAAGAAAGGACCTGGATTATCTTGTGTTCCTAATGGTTATCCACAAACTGTAGTCAAAAAGTTGAAAGATTAAACATGTTCACATCAAACCTAAGACTCTTGTGGTGTGTAGTAGCAACTGGTTGGTACATGCCACTTTTGCCCTTGTGGGTGACCCAGGGGCGGACTGACCATTTGAAAACTTGGGCAATGCCCGAGGGCCCGGGGTCAGTAGGGGGCCCCATGAGATGCCCCTGGTACCTTTTTCATAGGCTTTTTTGAGTTTGGGCAAGGACACAGGGGCCCCATGATCCCCTATTGCCCGGGGGCCCCATGAGTTGTCAGTCCGCCCCTGGAGTGACCATAGGAGTGAACACACAGGGTCCTCTGGTAGTGGATCCATTGCACTGGGGGCATAGAAAGCTCTGCAGTGTATGCTGGGAGCCACATCACCGGAAGTTGGCACGCCAGAAGTACGTCTGTAGCCCTCCATATCACCGGAAGTGACAAGGGATCACTAAAAGGGATAGGAAGCATCCTTGAGGAGGACTTGGAAAAGAGGCCACGTTCCAAAAGGCATTGTCTAGAAGAAGGAGGATGAGGAGGACTTGAAAAACAGACTACCACTGGAAACATGTTGGACAGGAGAAAGAGGATGCTTCCCATTAGAGATGAGCGAAGAAATGAAAAATTCGATTCGACTGATTCGGCGAATTCGTGGACAATATTCGATTCGAGTCGAATAAATTCGCTGTGAATTTAACTTAAAAAAGGGTGTTTCTAGGCTTCAGAGAGACTTAATATTAGTGCAGAACACTGTACCTTTAATTTAAATGCCCTTGGAGTCTGCTGGGGAAGAGAAATAATACTGTCAGTCAGTATGACATGCAGATGAGTGCCGTCGATCTTAGAATCACCGCACACTTCACTCATTTGGGCAGTCACGGGGCCAAAACCAGAGTGTGGAGCCACAGTGTGGCGGTGGAGGCAGCAGCAATGGGAGGCCATACAGCACCCTATGACAAAAATGGAAACCACCAGCAGTGTGAGGAGACCTGAAAGTGGCACATGGCAGAGTGTGGCGATAGAGACAGCAGCAATGGGAGGCCGTACAGGGACCCATGACACACTCTGGACCTGGCAGCAGCATGAGGAGGCGGTACAGGGGCCCATGACAGATTACGGGCCTGGCAGCAGCATGAGGAGTCGGTACAGGGGCCCATGGCAGATTACGGGCCTGGCAGCAGCAATGGGAGGCCGTACAGGGACCCATGACACACTCTGGACCTGGCAGCAGCATGGGGAGGCGGGGGGCGGGTACAGGGGCCCATGACAGATTACGGGCCTGGCAGCAGCATGAGGAGTCGGTACGGGGGCCCATGACACACTCTGGACCTGGCAGCAGCATGAGGAGGCGGTACAGGGGCGCATGACAGATTACGAGCCTGGCAGCAGCAACTTGGACAGGAGGACGTTCAGCTTCTGCACCGTCGGGTGCGTGCTCGCAAACTGTTGTCTCTTGGAAACGGATTCCAAGAAAGACTGCTGACGGAATCCGTGAAGAGGAGTAGCAGGAGAAGGAGCATCTGAACGAGCGGAATATGCCAACAAGCGACAACAGTGGGCCCATGACAGATTACGGGCCTGGCAGCAGCATGAGGAGTCGGTACGGGGGCCCATGGCAGATTACGGGCCTGGCAGCAGCTATGGGAGGCCCGTAATCTGCCAGCACCCTATGACAAAAAATGGAACCCACCAGCAGTGTGAGGAGACCTGAAAGTGGCACATGGCAGAGTGTGGCGATGGAGACAGCAGCAATGGGAGGGCCGTACAGGGACCCATGAGAGACTCTGGACCTGGCAGCAGCATGAGGAGGCGGTATAGGGGCCATGGCAGATTAGGGGCCTGGCAGCAGCTATGGGAGGCCCGTAATCTGCCAGCACCCTATGACAAAAAATGGAACACACCAGCAGTGTGAGGAGACCTGAAAGTGGCACATGGCAGAGTGTGGCGATGGAGGCAGCAGCAATGGGAGGCCGTACAGGGACCCATGAGAGACTCTGGACTTGGCAGCAGCATGAGGAGGCGGTATAGGGGCCCATGGCAGATTAGGGGCCTGGCAGCAGCTATGGGAGGCCCGTAATCTGCCAGCACCCTATGACAAAAAAATGGAACACACCAGCAGTGTGAGGAGACCTGAAAGTGGCACATGTTTGGGGCATGATTCATGGCGGATTTAGTCAGTTGTGTCAGGAACTGGTGGTTTGAAATCCAGACTAATCCACGCCTGATTCATTTTCACAAACGTGAGTCTCTCCACACTTTGGGTGGGACAGTCGTGTCCTCCGCGGAGTTGCAATACCTCCTGCCGCACTAAACACGCGCTCCGATGCCACGCTACTGGCCGGGCATGACAGCCTTTCAAGGGCAAATTCAGCTAGTTGGGGCCAAAGGTCAAGTTTCGTTGCCCAGTAGTCAAGGGGATTGTCTACCTCGGTTGGCAGGGTGCTGTCCAAGTAGGCCTAAGCCTGTTGTTTGAGCTCCTGCTCCAGGTCCACCTGATGCTGCTGCTGCTGCTGCGGCTGGTTAGTAGTTTTCCTCATTTTTTCGGCGTGTACGAAAAGAAACCCGGCTTTGTATGGGCCATTTGTGCCAAGGAATGCGAGGGACTCCCCGCCTCCATCTCCCCCAGATACTGCCAAGGTGCGTCGGTCCTCTGTCTCCTCTTCCCCCTTTCCCCTACCCGTTTCTCCCGCTCCTCCAAACCTGTCCGCTTGGGGGAAAAAACCCCCATTTCACTCAATAATTTCCCGAGCACCCCAAAGTCCCCCTCTACCTCCCCTTTCTTCCAGCCTTTCCCCCACAGGGGCCATGTGGCGTTGGTCTGTGCCCCCCGTCTTCCGCACCCTTTACCCGCCCTTTTTTAACAGCATTTGTTCCAGGAGTGCAAAGGGGAAAAGACGTCGTTTTATCCCCCTAGTCCCGCCCACTCCGAATAGCGGGGCCTCCTCAAAGGGCCCTGAGCAACCGGGGAAAGGGGTCACGCCCTGAGTTTCCCAAAAGGTGAAAATTAAGTTTTAAAAAGGGAGTACCTTTATCTGCTTTTTAAAACAGGAAATCTTTTGATGGCCTTTTTTGTTGTAAAAAGGGGGGTCTAAAAATTTTGTAGGGTTGAAATTTCCCCCTTTTTTGCAACGTCACAGCATGAGGAGTCGGTTTTAGGGGGGCCCCTTTGGCGATTAGGGGTGGCAGGGGTTTTTTGGGGGGGGCCCCCTAATTGCCAGCACCCTAAAGACAAAAAATTGGGGAAAACACCCGCCTGTGGGGAGACCTTTTAAAGGGGGACATGGGGAGAGTTTTGGCGTTTGGGGACAGCAGCAATGGGAGGCGTACAGGGACCCCTGAGGGGACTCTGGGGCCCGGGCAGAGCATGAGGGGGGCTGGTTTTTTTAGGGGCCCACGGCAGGGTTAGGGGCCCGGCAGCAGCTATAGGGGCCCCTAAATTTCCAGCACCCTATGTCAAAAATTCAAAAAACACCAGAGTGGTGAGGGGGACCTGAAAGTGGGGACATGGCAGGGGTTTTGGCGATGGAGACAGCAGC